TCTAAATATCCGAGGTTTCCCATGGTGCGTCTCCTTGACGGCTGATAGGGCTGGGCTTGAGGGGAGAGTGGGGTATGCCAGCCTCCATCCGTCTTCAAAAGTCAGAAGAAATACAGGTGGCCCCCTAAAGAAGGCTGATATGTATCCTCAAAGCCCCTATGACAATATTTAGATGCAAACAGTATTTGTCCAGATTCTCCAAAGACTGAGAGGGAGTGTGTACCCCATCTGTCATGGCCAGCCTGGGGTACTGCCAGCAAAGGGCACCAGGCACTCTGGGGCCTAGAGGAGCCAGGCACCTGCCTCAAGGCCCCGCCAGCCTTGTTTCTGGTATGTGTTCTCGTGAAGGTCACACCAAGGGGAACTCTCCTCAGGCCTCTCCATCTGCCTGTGTCACTCCCTGTCCCCCACAGTCCAAGACCTCAGCTCCAATTGATCTAAAATCACTTTTATTTTATTGTGGGAAGCGATTAAATTATTTTTAAGCCTATTTGTCTAAGGGCATTTCTGTCTTATTCACGCACACATGTATCATGTGTGCAGCTGTGCAAGTGTGGGGGTTGTTTTGATTGTCCCCTTTCCCTCATTTTGTCTACTTAAAACCATTTTGAGGGCCTTCTAGCAATGTGTCTAGAAAATCTTTTTATTAGATTTATTGTGGTGGATGCAGCCTTTTGCTCTGGAAGTAAATACCCCTTTCAATAGGATGCCAATTACAAGGATCCTACCTTCTAAGTCAACGGTTGGAAACATTTTCTGCAAAGTTCCAGATAGAAAATATTTTAGGCTTCGTGGGCCAGATGGTCTCTGTGGCAACTATGCAGTTTAGCAAGAAAGCAGCTCTAGACAATATGTAAATTAATGAGTATGGCTGGGTTCCAATAAAACTTTATTTATAGGTGCTGATATTTTAATTTCATATCATTTTCATATATCCTAAAATACTGTTTGGAATTTTTTTAAAAACCAGTTAAACATGTGAAAACCATTCTTAGCTGGAGGGCTGTACAAAAACAGGTGGCCTGTTGGGCCCAAATTGACCAACCCCTGCTCCAAACGCCAAAGTAGTAACCCAAGGGGAAGGCGCCATCTACGATCTGGCCAGAAGTGCCTGATTTTGTAAGCAATAGGAGTCAAGTAGGTGCCTTCTTGAGAGAGACCCCTTTGGAGGGGCTGTGGAACAGAACCCTCATGCGCCCAGAACACGCAGTATGCATCTCAAACCCATTGCTGAGAGAGAGGGACGGGGTGATGTGGAGCTCAGATCTCGGCTGAGCAAAAGCCCGCAATTGCTCAAGAGACAAGGTAGAAACAAAGGCCTGGCAGAGGCTTTTCACACCCTGCATTAAAGTTAAAATCTAATTTAGATGAAAATGGATGCATAGAAATGGGAGGTGTGCACGAGGCTCCCGTCCTGACGTTGCGTACCCCGTAACAACAGCTCTGCCAAATTGATTCCCCCGGCTCGAAAATAAAGATGCTTTTTGAAATTTGATTTTGTTGTTTTACAAATTGTTTTAGCTTTACGAATGGTGCAAACTCTATTTCTGATCTGCCTCAAATAAAAATAGAGCATTAAAGTGTTTAAGATTCAATCAAAGGCTTGCTGTGAGCGGCACCATATTAAAATAACGGGAAAATCAATTCGACTTTTATTTTGAACACGATTTGTCATAAATAGCATTCTAATAGATAACACTGATTATATGGTAGCAGATGTAATTTATATATACCGAGCTCTACACCTTTGTCAGAGTCATCATTAAGGAATTTGACACGAATGGAGGAGAACAATAAATGTCAACTGAAATATATACCAGGGAGACACAAATGGGAGGCTGGAGAGGGCGATGTCGGCACACGCTATACTTATGAGTAATAATATGCAGTCCAAAGTAGCTGGCGTTTTTAACTAGAGCCCTTTTTATGTTGTCATTTAAAATATCTCATATTCCTGAAGGTCAGGGATAAATGGCACTATTAGCATTTCAAGCCGGTAAAAGGAAAAGTAATTTGTTGTTCATTTAACATAACATTTTATGGAATGGCTTTGTAAAGGATTCATTATTTCTCCCCCATGGGAGGCTGAGGAGGCAGGAGAGAGACGCCCGGTTTTTAACCCAGGGCCTTGGGTCACGCCCGTGTCACCGCTAACGTCTTGATTCAGCGAGGTACCGTGGAATTATGAGGCTCGTGCGTGGGCACAGCTGTGGTCCCGGCTGAGTCCAGCAGGGGGCTCCCTAGGTCCTGGGTTGCCTCCTCATAAATAATGCCGTTTGGTACAGGGATGACAGCATGACAAGGGGCAAGACGGTCAGAGGCTGAAGATGAAGGTTTTTGATGTGACAAACGCAGGCCCCAAGGAGCAAGAGGGAGGCTCTTGCTGTGTGTCTGGGAACAGTGGCCGGCGAATCAGGTTTGAATCCAGATACAGACGTGAGAGCATCTTGGGGTCAGAGGTGCCGCTCAGTCCCCTTCGACCGGCAGTCCTTCCCACCGGCCACAGGTCCTGAGTGCAGGGCAGCGTGGACCTCTCTCTCCCCACTTTCCCTCTTAAATTTGTGTAAACAACTAAAACCACATAAAAACGACGTTGACAGACACCACTGTGTCCACCACCTTACATTAGCAAAGATGAACTTTTGTCATATTTGCTCCAAATCCTTTTGTAATGAAAAATATAAAACATTACTGGTAAAGGATTCTCCATGTCTATGTTTCGATATTTTATACCACATATGCAGTGAGTTGTAGTATTTTGGGAATAAAAATGTATGTAAATGGTATTTTCTGTCTCTAACTGCTATCTTCCTAACACTTGCTTTTCTCCTGAACGGGATATTTGGGGGATCTGCTCATGTGGCTCCATATGGACCTTTGTTCATTATTTTTAATCGCTAAAGGTACATCTTGGACAATGTGAAGGGTGTGAATATCATGTTGCAGTTTTTGTTTATATCCCCCTGATTACTAGTGAAGATGAATCTCAAACATCACTCACTTTCCTCTTTGTGCCTCGCCTGCTCATGTCCCTTTGTCCATTTTTCTGTTGGGTTATTCTTTCTTTCATGTACTCTGAATACTAATTCTTTGTTAAGTCACTTCGTTAAGTCGCTTGTCTTTAATCTTGGTTGTTGGTGACTGCTACTCTTAGAAAACAACGCCCCCCATCCTTCCTGCCTCCTTCACGGGCTGTTTGTCTTGTTCCAGACAGTGGACTAAGTGCTTCGCATGCTTCATCGTATTTGATCGGCACGGCCACCCTTATTCTGGGGTAAGTGTTGAGGTTGGAGCAGTGAAGCAGTCAGCCCAGGTAATGCAGGCAGGAAGAGAGGAAGCTGGATTCAAGGCCAGCCTCGCCCCACTGTGGAGCCCTATAGCACAGATGAGAATTAGGAAGAGTTAATGTTAGAAAGTGTCATTTAAACTCTTAGAAAAAAACACACACGGTGGTTCTCAACCCTGACTGTACACCACTGACAGATTAAAAAAAAAAAAAAATACTGGTGTTGGCCCCGCCCCAGAAATTCTGATTGGTTCAGGGTAGAGCCTGGACACCGGTTTTCTTTGAAAGCTCCCCGCTGGATGCTATTATGCAGCCAGGGCTGAGAACCTCCATCCTATAATATGCAGTTTTATTGAGATTTCAGACAAGGACCTAGTTCACTGCACCAGGCCAAGACTTTAAATGCCATACAGCGCTTCAGGAAAAATAGTTTCAGAAAACCCAAGGCAAAAAAGGAGAATGGAAGACAAAAATCCCCAGGCGCTGAGCTCCAGCTCTTCCTGCCGCCGGGGATGAGAGGCGGCCCCGGGAATGAGAGGCGGCCCCGGGAAGGGGGGCAGCTCCTCCTGCCCTCATTCTCGGAGTCTCAGCCAGTGAGTCGCCCCGGCTCTCCTCCAGCACCAGCCACAGCTGTCACGGCGCCTCCCACCGAATTGCTAAGTGGAGCCGTTTCTGGACTCTAAGAATTAAACAGGGAATGTTCCCACCCCTGCCCAGTGGGCCAACCCTCCTCCGCCATCCTGGGCCCTGAAAGTGACTCCCCCTACCGGGCACCAGCCTATTTACTCACCGGGGGCCCAGGACCAAACAGGCAGGCAGGCCGGGGGTTCCCGGGGGCCCTGCCATGCTTGCGCAGAGGCCAGGCTAAGCGGTCCTCCACACATATCCTAAGAGGACAGTAGATGCACGCATATTTGCACTAGGGAGATTTTGGAGACTGCTTATACGCTCAAGAGCAGGGATGAGCGCAGCACCTGCACTCCTCAGCGGCATCTGTGAAGCCCTGTGAAGAATGAAGAAGCTTTTTCTGTGCTATTAGGGGACACCATCCACTTAATTGATGGTGTGAAAAGCAAGGTAGGAAAGGTGTGTGTTGCAGGCTACCATTTGTTCAAAAAGGGGCGGGGTGGGGCTGGAGTGGGTGAGATAGATACATACATATGTGTATGTCGAATATTTCTTGGAAAAACTCAAGTTGTCCTTGGGAGGGGAGCTGAGAGACGTGGGAGCCAGGACGGAAGACGACCTACCCTGTGTAAGAATACCCTCCGGGTCAGTGGCCTTTTGTGCCACGGGCATGCATGGACTGTGTTTTTAAGCCACTCTTCCTCCACAGCACGGGGTAGTGTAATGAAAATGACATGGGCTCAGAGGTCCTCACGCCACACTGGCTGCTCTCCTGTGCGGTCAGTGCCCTTCCCTAGGATGTTAAACGCTGGGTGGGCAACACGTGGCAGTAACGACGAGCTGTTCAAATAGGACAGAGCTTCCCAGTGTGCGTTAGGTCAGGCCGCACAAAGCGCCCGGAGAGAGGTGGTGGCAAAGGACGGCGGTGGGAGGTTTGGGGCATGACACGTAGCCACCTGGGCTCCTGTCCCCCAAATCATGTCCGAACATGACTCCAGAACACAGAGAATGTCAAACTCACCCCTCAGCGTCAACCCAAGGGCATGAAACATTTATTAGCACGAAGATATAAGAGGGCACCACGTTTTTAACAAGGGTGAAGAGACTGTAAAACGTCTTCTTTCACTGGGTCATCACCACAAAAGTGATACCTGCGGAGGAAAACATGTTCGGCATGAGGCTCGTTAGGTTGTGGAAATGTGACCTCAGGCAAGTCAACGGCCTTTAGCCAACCCCCGGGATTCAGGTCTTTTTGACCAAAAGGCTCTGCTGCGCCAGGCAGACTCCGGTGATTCTCACTAAGCAAACCCCCTTAAAAAACGTCTTCCCCTCCTGTGGCCTGTGAACGAGCTGAGAGCGAATTAGTTGTGTCAGACAGAGGATTTACAAAACCAAAGGGGTCTCTAGGGAGCCTGCAGCCTTGGGCCTGGCCATGATTCAGGGGCCAGGGGCACCCCAGCCTGTCCAGGGGGACCGTCCCTAGAGTTAAAATCCTGGAGCGTTCCCATACATTGCTTCTGGGTGTGGAAAATGTGGCAGCCACTTGGGAAAAGAGGCAGGCAGTTCTTCTAAAGGCTAAATATAAAGCTATCACATACCCTAGCAATTCCGCTCCTAAGTACAGACCCCCAAAGAAATGAAAACATATGTCCACACAAAAACTTGTACATAAATGTTCGTAGTAGCGTTATTCATAATAGCCTCAAAGTGGAAACAACCCTAATGCTCATGAACTGGTAAATGGATAAATAAAATGTCATATAGCCATATAATAGAATATTATTTGGCAATCAAAGTACTGATATATGTTACAACATGGATGCACCTTGAAAACCTCATATGCTATGTGAAAGAAACCAGCCACAAAGGACTATATATCATGCGACTCCATTTATATGAAATGTCCAGAACAGGAAAATCTAAGGAAATAGAAAATAAGTTGCCTAGAGTTGAAGAAAAGGGATGGGGCAGATGGGGTGATGGCTGATGGGTATGGGTTTTTTGCAGGGGGAGGCAATGAAATGTTCTAAAATGGAATGTAATAATGATTACATAATTCTGTAATATATATTAAAATTCACCGAAGTACACACTTTAAACAGGTGAACATGTGGTATAAAAATTCTATCTCAAGAAAGATTTTGGGAGAAAAAAAGCTCACAAAGGAATGTCACTCCTGAAGAGGGTGGAGCCTGTCAGGTTGGGACAATCATTCAGCCATGAGGTGCAGGGCACCCTGGCCCCTCTTTTTCTTGTAGGTGTCTTGGGCTCCAAGGGGCTGGTTGGCCAGGCAAGGCTCCCTCAGGGCTCAGCTTCAGAACATGGCTCCTTGACCAGGAAGCCCTCCCGTGGGGTGGAGACCTTGGCATTTGGAATAGACAGTGTGTGCGCTGTCCTGTACGTGAAAACAGTAACTCCACGCTCACCCCCACCTAAAGATGGGGAGATACAGACAGTGCCACAGTGCAATCCACAGCCAGGCCTTATGGACTCCTCCCCTCCACGGCCGGCTATGTGAGCTGGATGGGCACAGTGGAAAGAGGGCTGGATCAGAGGGCAGAGGTTCAAGTCCTGGTTGTGCCTCATGCTCAAGCTCTGCTCTTGAGTCTACAAAGTGATGGCACAGCCACAGGGGCCTCTGATCCTGCCAACGATGCGCCCGGGAATCAGGAATAGGACCAGGCATAGTCAACACAGTTAAGTCACACAGCTGTGCAAGGGCTTGGCGTTCACTTTTCAAAACAATTTGAGTCCAATATTTTTCCCTTTAGCTTCCCTGTGTGGCCGTAGACAAGTCACTTGACTCTCCAAATCTCACTCTCCTCATCTTAAAATGAGATCATTTGAAAGGTGATCTCTAAGTTCCCTTTAGATGCTAACATCCTGTTATTTTCTGTTATCTTCTTTTAAGGTAGTCTTTCCTTCCATATTTTAAACACTGTTTTGTCCTTTCCCAGCTCGTACCAACTGAGCTCCTAGTCCCTCAGAAAGAGAAGAGCTTGCCATTGTGAGTCAGGTCTGAACAAAGTCTATATTCCTCTCACGCCAGAGTCTCCAAACAAAACAATCTGTATTAATAAATGCACCCTAGCTGAAGTTAACTCAGGGATTTCCTGCCACTACTGCCCAGGTGTTTTCCTTATTGTGTGAAGTAAAACAGTCTCATATTTTCCTGTTTCTCAAATCTATGTCTTAGAACTGATGTCTTTCTCCTGCCAAGTTGAATTTGGCTCTAAGAAAATGGTATTTGACTTTTCAAAGTAACTCAGATGGCTAGATGGAACATTGAGATAAATAGTTGGGCAAATGAATGGCTGGATGGATAAGTGGATAGGTAAGTGGTTAAGCGGATGGACAGAAAGGGATGAATGAATGCACAGGTAGATGGATGCATAGATGGGCAGCTGGCTGATGGAATGCCTGCAGGTATGTATGCAGAGATAGACTGATAAGTAAATACAGAAATGAGAGATAGGTGGGATAAAAGATACGCACTCAGTCCCATCTTCGCCACTTTGCACTGTGATGTGGGAAGCCCCCAGAGTGGGCCGGAAGAGATTTATCACGTTGTTGTACCAGATGAACTTGACCTTCTGGACTTTTCCAACATTGAGGTTCACATCAATGTCACGTGTATGACTGGCATCTGGTTTGAGGGACCCTCTGAAAACAGAGACAGAAAATGTTATATCAGATGGATATATGAGTACCTACAATGACAGCTGTCTATTGTTTCTTGGAACAATGGCTGCTGGTGTGGGTTTTCTGCAAATATCTTGAACAGCTTCATCACATCCAGGGACTGCTAAAACACAAATGTGTTTGCGAAGAACACGCTTTTAAAAAATGCTGGATTCTGCATTTCCACTGTCTTAATTGGTACCCAGAGGGAAGTCAAATAGTTGGAGTGGGATATTAACTCTAAGTTCACTGCAGAACTCGTTATGTCTTATGACTAAAGATGCATGTGGTTCAGCAGAGGGCATCTGTGGGCATCTCACAGGGAGCATAAGAAGTTGTCAAAGAACTTTAACTTAACATGAAAATTATTAGGTAAAGTTAGTATAAAAACAGAATCTAATTTTACAGCACACGTATGCAGTTATCCAACACATTTTTACCAAGCAGCTCATATACCCAGCAAAAGCTAGGTGCTGAGGCTGCTGCAGCAACAAGAAGCTGGCCCCAGGCTTCACATGCAGCATGTCGGGGGATGGAGGGTGTGTTGGATGGGGGTGTGTGTGTTGGATGGGAAGGAGTTGCCTTATAAATGTGCCTTGTCTGAGGAGAAAGTGACGTTCATAAAACCCAAGTAGAAGGGAAGCAATGATTGACAATCAAAAAGAATCAGCATTTAACATAGTGAGTTCTGGCCCTGGCTGAGTAACTCAGTTGGTTAGAGCATCGTTCCAAATCACCACAGTTGCAGGTTGGATCCCTGGTCAGGGCACATGCGAGAATCAACCAATGAATGCTTACTATAAGTAAAACAACAAATCAGTGTTTCTCTCTCTCCCTCTCCCTTTCCCCTTCCTTCCCTCGTTCTCTAAAAATCAACAAAAATTAGGAACAAATACTGAGTTCTTCCTCTCTGGGCCTCACTCTTCTCATACGGGATGACTGAACTAGATGCTAAGTCTTCCAGCTCCGACATTCTAGGATTCCATGGTTGTGTATCATAGATGGCTGGATCTATGAAGCAGTTGATAGCCAGTCTTTGATGAATAATCTATTATGGAATGCATGGTGATTTCACTCCAACTATCAAACTTACTTGAAAATCTCAAATTGCTTTGAGTTTCCAGCACTTCCGTATAAAGCAATCCTGATGTAGCCACGCACTTTCTTTTTCCCAGCCAGTGTGACTGACACCCTGTATCTCCAGCCTGTGCAAAGACAGAAATACAACCCATTCAACGAACTCATCGTGTTGGAAAAAGTGACCCCGTGGAAGCGTTCTTGTTCCTAGTTCCGAACCCCCGTGAGTGTGAACGAAGAGGGAATCTGACTAATAGTCTCCTTCCATGAAGCTGGTGTCCCGGGAATTCAGGGGTGAGGACTCAGGGATGTAAATGTTATGGTTCAGCTCCATCTCTTGCCCGCCCAGCCTGCGTGTGTGCTGGCAGATGGCGGCGCCAGGGTGCTCTGCCTGTGTGCCCGTGGTGCACATCGCCAGGCCAGAGGGGGAGAGGGAGGTGCCTGGGGCTCCCATGTTCCTATAAATCACTTAACTGTTCTCCTTTTCAATTTTAATATTTGTTATTCTCCCATGCAATGGACCTATTCTCCAAGGAAAACCCAGATACATTTTAAAAGAATAAAATGGTCCCTTCATCAGCACCCCATCTACCTGCCCCTATCTCAGGTGCTTCCTTGAAGTCACCAGTTTGGCCTCTACACTTAATAAGTCCAGCGGGTGATTTTGCTTCTCGAGGACATTTGGCACTGTCCGGAGACATTGTTGATTGTCACCCCAGGGGAAGGAGGTGGGTGGGTGGAGGACTACTGCCATCTGTCTGGCAGAGGCCATGGATTTGCTAAACATACTACAATGCACAGGACAGCGCACCCCCCTGCCCCTCGAAGTAACAAATACCCAGTCCCCAATGTCAATAGAGCCAAAGCTGGGATACCCCAATCTAGAGCTTTCTATGAGCATTTATACACACATATATGAACATATAAAACTGTAGGCTTCTCCGCCTTCTGTAAATAGCCCTCACTGTTATTCTGTTCTTTCCACCCACCCCCCCCGGCCAGAGAGATTCTCTGTCCTTCTCTGTCCTGTCTTGTGCTCCAGAAGGTTGACCTCACCAGCGATTCTCACTGTGGCCTTTCTGCTGGGTTCAGCCCGTAAGAGCCTTGCCCGGGAGGTCAGGAGGCAGGAGGAGGGAGACAGATGTATTTGCTCCCCTGCACCCACCCTCGCTCTAGTACCAGGTGTCTGGCAGTGACTCACTTCCTCTCCGATGGCCCTCCATTCTGGGGGCCCCGCGGCCACCCGATTCTGGGTGCCTCAGCATCCCTGGTTTGTTGCTTTAACTATGTCCGCTCCTCCAAAAGCAGGCCCTTCAGTGAGGTCTCCTCGTTTGAAACTCTTAGGGGAGTTCTGTCTCCTGTAGGGACCCTCACTGGTACATCATCTATTATGTGTTGTTTTGCTATTTGCTTGTTTACCTTAATATGCCTTGGAGGCTTTCTAGCTCCTTCTTTTAATGGTTATACACAGTATTTGGTTGTTTATCAATTGGCGGACACCTAGGTTTCTCTCCATAATCTTTTGGTATAAAAACAAGGCTGCAGCAAGCATCCTTGGGCACACATTCTGCACACATGCAAGCATTTTCCAAAGGGACGGTCTGGGTTAAAGCAATATGCTTGTAAGACTTTTAGATGCCTCCAAACTGTTACCTTTTATGGTAAGTATTGTGAGGATTATATAAAATGCTGTATGTAAAAGTGTTTTGTAAAATGTGCTATATATATATTTTTTTTTTAATTTAAAAACTTCCTTGGAAAATAACTTCTGTTCACCACCACGTAATTTTACTTGTAACAAATGAATCTTGATGGTTTTACTATCTCCAACTTTTTAAGTGACAAAGTAACAATAAAAACATAGCATGCTCATGCGCATGTATGTAGGGGAAGTAGCATGGTGGGTAATCACGGGGGTGACTTTTTGAGTTTCCGTGACTTTGCCCCATCATGCCTTCTTCTGTTAATGGGTCCATCCTTCCTGACACAGGGCTGGGTGGACATGTGACCCAGGCAGGGCCACTCACTGCACCGACTCCACTGATCAGCATTATTGGTTACAGGGGTGAACGTGGGACGTAAGACAAGTGCCATTCTCCTGTCCTTCCATTATAGCTTAAGCTGTTTAGAGTTGAGTTTGTGTCTGTTGCTACCAAGGGTACTAACTAATAAGGTTGATACCCCTTTTAAACTTATTTGCAACTTTTAAGTGGGTAAAATGGGAACTTACTAGTAAAGTTACCACTCTCTCCTGTGTTCAGGAAAACCGTTTGTCCCACAGCACTGGTTTTCCCCTGAAACTGGTCAGCATAGTGCCCCATTTTGGGGCATCCACCGGCTGGACAAGGGAAACAGTTATTCTAGTGGGAAAAAAAAGTTGTCTGTGAGTGGTAGGCCTTTGACTCAATCCTTCATAGCTCAGTTGATCAGTCCATCTTCCCATTTACCCATCCATCCATCCATCCATCCATCCATCCATCCATCCATCCATCCACCAATCCCTCATCTGTGCTCTTACCTACCTAACCATCTTCCCATTCATCTATCCATTCTATCCTCCATCCATCGATGAATGCATGCACGCATTCATCTTTCCCGTGCCATCCATGCACCCTTTGAGAATTTTTCAGAATGAAAATTTGGGGATCTGGGGATGGCCCAGCACATGCGCCGCCCGCCTCCTGCCCGCCCTGCTCCCGGAAGGAAGAAGGCTCTGTGATGCTCAGCATCACCAGCACTTGCTCTCATTAGTCGTGGAGTTGTAACTCTGTGCTGTCTCAAGCCCCAGGGACAAAACCAACAACAACAGAGCCACCAGCAACACCTTCCCCAGGCCCTGCTGTGACCTACCTCCTGAAACTCATCGTAGGATGCACACGGGTAGCCCAGGAAGCCGTTGGGGTTGAGGATGCTGCTTGCGTAATACTTGTAGCTTCTCAGGTGGTTGCAGGCTACAAAGTCTCGGGTCCCTGAGGGAGCAAAGGCCACAGGAGCTCACAGGGGCATGCCACGTGTGAAGCTTGGCCCATTCTGACTGAGTAAGGAATCGCTGCCACGCCTCACAGATGGGGGGCGGCATTCCTGAATGCCTTGGTCGCCATTGAAAGTTTCTGTCATTGACTTTGACATGCTTAGGGACAAGTAGGAAATGTGGGGACTTGTTTAACAATGGTGTTTGGCTACAGTTGCTTTCCTCTCTCCCCACCACGCTTCCATTTGCTGAGGAGGCACTACTCAGGTTTAGGCAAGGGCCGGGGAGTGATGAGTTGTATCAGGCACATTTGTCCAACCCTCCAGAGGCCAGGCATTGGACATAAATGAATGATGAGGGCTGGGGGCTCGGGGAGGGAGTGAGGAAAAAATATATACAGAGAGGAGAGGGTGGGGGGTGGGGGGAGAGAAAGAGAGAGAGAGAGAGAGAGAGAGAGAGAAGGAATAGCTTTAAAAAGGAGCCTTCCATAGGTCAGCCAGTTGTTGAATGTTAAGGCCCAGATTGCTTGGTCTTCCGATTTTTCATCAGAAGCCAGCATCTTGACTTTTACATAAAATTGTGTTCGTGCTTAAATGATAGCAGTGCATTCCCATTTTAAAACCTGTCACTGCAAAGGCCGGCCTCAGCGGCTGGGGGTGGGGTTCTGCCCGAGGGCCATCCTTTGAGAACTCTGGACCTCACCGGACAGGCCTCAGCATAAACCAAGCTTTTCTGCACCCATGGCCTGGGGCGAGGAAATTCCTCCTCCTAATTATTCCAGGCACAAGGTAAAAGCAGAGGAGATCAAGGTCGCCATGGCCGCTGGGCCACTTTTTCACTGCATTTTATTTACCATGTTTTTCTTTAAACCAAAGTCCTCCTGTTTGCAAAATTGCTTGTTTTGTATCTCCAGCTACTTGGTACAGAACTTCCTGCGGCATGATCCACAGTGACCCCAGACATACCTGGGGACCACCTCTGGCGGTCTGTTGGGCTTCATCCCCCACCCATGGAGAGAAGACAGGTCCCCTTTGTGCTGGGGGATTGGGGGATTAGCCCGGCACAGCCCGCGGCTCTGCCTGCCCCACCGGCGGGTGCCTTCCAGCGAAGCCGGTTCGGCCCCACACCAACGCTCATTACCAGACAGTTCGGCCCCACACCAACGCTCATTACCAGACGATGCAACCTGTTTCAAACTTAATTGTTTCTTTCATCCAAAACTGCTGCCCAGGGATCCCATAATAGAGAAACGAGGGGATTTAATTGTGCCTCAGCGCTCCGCGTCTGGGTGACGCGGAGGCCTACACAATAGAAGTGCGCTCCAGTGTGCAAGGGCTTGTTCACGCTAAATGGCCTCTTTAATTAAACCAGGGTTCCTTTCTATTATGTGTGCCCTGCTCAGTCACTTCTGGGACTCTGGTGTTGCTTCAGGGAGTGGAACAGCCGTGTCTTCCCTGGAGTTACCTGGTGCTGAGCAGAGACGAGGCCAAAGGCTCCACTCACAGCTGGTGGATGTTGGCTGTTGCTTTATCGACTCTGCTCTTTCACATGAAGCACATGAGATATTAAAATGCCACAGAAGGCCTCTCAGCCCCATTGAATGAACTATACTGAGCATTTGCTCTGGGCCAGGCCCTGAGCAGGGTTCTGGGGTGTCTGGGATGCATAGGACATATTTCCTAGCCTTGGGAAACTCCCAACTCAGAAAATTAAATACTCAGATGAAAGGATCACAGGCTCAAAGCCGCCATTTTTAGGGAGGAGATGAAGTCTGGTCTCAAGGAAGAAGCAATAGGAACAGAGCAAAGGCCAGACAAAGGCAGCAAACGGAAGTGGTGCTTTAAGTCACCTGATATTAGGGGGACTAAACCTGCTCAGATAAACAGAGACACATGTGTGGATGACAAAGGGGCCACATACTGAACCTGACAAGCTCAGGGGAGACCTGCATGGCAAGACGTACAAACCCAGAGACCGAAAATAACCCCACGGGATGGTCTGAATGTAAAACTTCCTAACTAAAAGCGTGTCATGGGGTAATCATATCCCAGGCCTGCAGCTTGGTTGACAAAGGTCAATCTTTACCTTAAGTGAGACTATTTTTTTTTTTTTTTGCATCTAAGATAACATACCTTTAAAATATCAGAATAATTTTTTCTATTATTCTGACTCCTCAGAGCATCCCCCGCAAGAGCATGAGACCACAGAACCCCTCATTGCTATCTCGGTCCCCGAATCCCATCTCTGTGTGCTGTGGATGTTGCTCATCAACTCCTCAGTACCCACCAATGTAAAAGAAGCATGTGTTTCTGTTTTACTTTTTGTCCAATTCCAGAGTTTTCCCCGTTTGCTTTCTCCCTCTCCCTTAATCTACCAATAGATTTTGTATAAGCCCCTTAGGTCTCCTTCTTCAACTCTAATGTATAAAACAAGCTGCAAAACTGCCGTTCTCTAGAGCATTTTCTCAGTCTCTTGAGATTTTACTTCCCAGCAACTGTCAGTTTGGCTCAGAAAAACTCATAAACATTTTCCATAGGTTTGGGTGTTTCTGACTTCAACACATACAAGGCCCGCCCCCCACCCCAACCTTCCGTGTTCCCCCTCCACGCATGCGCTTCCCGAACCCACACAGCACATCCCCACTTGGTCTTCTTACCAGCTCATTCCCTTTCCAGTCCTAGCACCTGACAGCAGCAAAAGGCAAGAAAATCAAACCCTCCATATTTTCGCGTGTTCCCTTCAAAAAGCAAGCAGTAAAGGCAGGATGGGGCCAGGGGCCAAGGCCAGAGCTGGCTATTTGCCAATGTGCCCATTCCGCTCCTGCCTCAGCGTCCTGGTAAGGGGGGAGGTGACACAGGCTGGGGTATGAGGTTGGGGCTTTGCAACCAGAAACTGGGCTTCAAAATAAGGTGGCTTTGGGCAAGCTTTATGACTTTTCTGATCCAGTTTCTTCATCTGTAAAATGGGGATAGTCAGAGTAACTGTCTCCTGACCTGTTGTGAAGGTGCCTGGGACAGAAGGAGCACACCCCAGGTCGCGGCACTCGGCTCGGCGAGGGCCAGACCACGCATCCTGCTTTCTCCCCAGGCAGGGCAGCGGCTGTCTCGCTTTTCTAATGTACATACCTTCCCATATGCCATTTATATCAACGATGGTCGAAAGGATATTCTTCTTACATCCAGGCATTTGTTTCCCTCCATTTGGATAGAAATCCAGATGGCCCACCGTTTGGCTCATTCCAAAACCTGAAACATTGGAAGCAGAGGTGAGCAGGGCGCTAAGCGGCTCCAAGGCGAGGTCATGGCCCCAGAGGTTGTCCAACTCCTTCCAACCAGTGCGAGGGTCTTGGCAAATTCTCCCCTCAGCAAAGCCACCCCGTCTGGCTTTGTAGAACATTCTCAAAGATGAGCCCTTGGCAAGACAAGGAGGGAGGAGGGAGCAGAGGAAGTGAGTGTGCATACATGCGTATCTGTATGTGGTTCTGTCTGTCTGTCTGTCTGGGAGGCCCTGAACAATACTGATATACCCTGATGCTCTTATGCATCAGCAGACACATATCACGGCTGGTATAATTTCTATTACTTTATTCGTTTTAAAATTTTGATCTCTGTGTTATATTGTTGTATGGAGACCACATAACATCATATTGTTATATTGAGAGCCCAGCGTAATGGCTGGATGCTTTGGCTCTTTAAACTCATACTTGAGCTCACATCCTGGGCCTGTTTACACACTCCGTGATCTTGGGTAATTACTGAAGCTTTCTGAGCCACAGTTTCCTCAGCTATGAAATAATAATAATAATGCCCACTTTTTAGGGTTGTTACTATGATTACCGAGCTACTGTGTATAAACTGTTGGATGCAGCACATGGAATTATCATTGTAATTGAACACATCCTTTACTGGCATGTTTAACGAGTGGCTATATAAGAAAATACTGAAAAGAGAACATTGATTTTATTTATTATTTACTTTCTACATAATTTTATTTATTTTAAAATTTTAATTTATTTAATCTAAAAAAAAAACAGAAAAAAATCACCCATTTGGTTTTAGAAGAATTAAATCAAGGAATACATTTCATCTCCAACAACACAAACTATAGCCAAAGCTTTCCCAAAAGAAGGAAGCAAAAAATTCAAAGATTAACTTTGCATTTTGCAAGTAGGGGTCAAACATCAATAATAAACACATCTGCCACTCTGGATGGTGGGAGACCAGGGAAGGGTGCAGGGTTTGAAGACTGAGCAATGATCTTCCATAGGCTAGAGAAGTGCTTTTCTGTTCCATCTGGGGCCACAGGCTGATGCCACTGGCCCTGTGCTGGCTGCGTGTTTGTGGCCGGCACCCACTTTGGCTGGTTGGTGTCTAAGTTATTCCTGAGGTTAACGACGTTGCACACCACCCTTGCAATATATTTGTGTGTGGGGTTGGGGCGGGGGTACCTGGGCCTACTCTCACCAGTCACAGCCCTGGTCACCAAGGGGTGGGGTGTGGAACTCACCTAGGGAAGGGACTATGGGCGCAGAATCTGTGTGGATCACATCTACAAACATGGCGTCGGATGGGTCCAGCCGGACCTCCTCGGGCGTGCCCTGGAAGCAGGGCTCTGCCGGGTCCAGCCCTGAAAGGGGGAGGTGGACCGTGAGGCCATATTCTACGACAAACCAGGTTCTAACCCCTGTACCCACAGAATCCATGGGGACTTCTGCCGGAAGCAGGGGCTGGGCCCAGCTCATCTTCAAAGAGAGGCAGAGGGAGGAAGGAGCATGGTACACAGGACACAGTGACCTATGTTCTAGACGGGGTTCTGCGCAAGGTCAAATGTCTGCCCTCCCTGAGCTTCAGTTTCCTTATCTGGAAAGTGGGAATAACAGCAACCGAACTTTCAGGGTTACTGTGAAAACCCCGTGCAAAGAGGTAAGAGAAAGAACTTTGCAAATGGAAAAATTCTCCATAATCATAAACTGTTAATTCCCTTACCCTTCACCCAATGCCTAGCACCATGCCCTGAGCAAAGGGGACGTTCATTGAACTGCACAGTTACATACAAACTTGGCTAAGTCTTGCGTGCCTTCATTTTGTCTAGTCATTCATTCATTCATTTGTTCATTCGTTCATTCATTCATTCATTCATTCATTCATTTTCGTGTTTACTGAGCACCTCCTCTGTCAGGTCTCAGCTAGGCACTTTGATTTTCTGCCTGAGTTTGAAATAGCAAAGACAGTAAGAATTTGTGGTTAAAAAAACCATGTCACTTTTTCAAAGTCTGCCATACTCTAGCAATAATAATCCTGAAGTCCTGGGTTTCATGTGCTAGTTATATTTTTCTTTTTTATAAACTTGTTTTTATTTACAATCACAGACACTATTTTGCAATTCCCAAGAAAATATACGGGCAATTATTTTTTACTCTGGCAGTCCCTAAAATCAGTTCCCAGAGGACCAGTGGGGGCGCCCTCAGCCGTGGGAAGCGCATGTGTCCGGACTTCCACCGCCCACGGGCGGCCCGACCCGCGCGCCCCCTACCTGTGATCCGGCCCACGCGGCCCCCCAGCCTCCTGCCAGCCTCGGCGGCCGCGTGCGCGCCCAGGCTGTGGCCGATGAGGTGCACATTCTGGAGGCTGTACTTCATCTCTGTCTGCGGAAGGATGGCGCGTCAGGTCCCCCGGGCTGGGGTGGGGATGCACAGGCTCCGGAAGAGGGAAGGGGGCAGGTCTCGGGAGGAACGACCCGGGGCTCCAGGACCACCTAGGAGAGCACTACCCGCCCCAAGACGCCCGCCTCTGGGTCCCGCTGGCCAGCTGGTGCGCGGGCCAACAGTGCTGACCAGCGGCCACTGTGTCAACTGCAGGCCGCCTGCCTGCTTCGATCCGTACCCACTGCGGCCTTCCTCCCCTCCCCGGAGGGTTTGGGCCTGCCTGCCCTGGGGTGCCCCGGGATAGGCCTTCCGGAAGGCTGGCAGGGGCTTTCCCTTATCCGAGAATGGAGTCTCATCTTCTCGGCTGAGAACTGTTGGACAGCCCAGCCTGCTCTAGACTCCCCAGAACAGACTACAAGGAAAGATGGTTTCAAAAGCAGAAACAGGCTCAAAGTGGTTCATTTGCCCCAGGCACCATGTAGGGAGGGCGGAAGGTGGCAGCTTCATTTTATGAAAAGCACCTCTATGCTTCCAGGCTTCCAGGCCCCGCCCCCGCCCCCGCCCAGCAGACCCCAGGCTGCCTCTGGGTGCACCGCGCGCGGAGCTTGCTGAGTCCCTCCCTGCCTCTTCCTTACGGCCTGTGGCCCGGGCATGGTTTTACCGACAGCTCTTGTAGTAAGAAAGCGATCTCGGCTCCGACGACGCGGATGTTGTGGACAGCCTGGGTGTACTGTGTCTTGGCCCCACGTCTCCAGTCCACACAGATGCAGTTCACCTCTTCCACTTGAAACATATTCTTGGGAAGAAAAACAAGAGGGAGAAACCAATGTATTAAAAGGCACAGGGGGCACACTCCAGAGATGGGATTTCTCACCCATCAAGCACCTCGTTAACATCCCCCCGGCCTTGTTCTCATCCTCATCACATGAGTAGGAACTGGGTATCTTACTCCCACTTAACACACATGGACCCTGAGGCCTGGAATGGAGTAAGGGACTTGTCTGAGGTCTCCCTCATGGCTATTGACACAGCCAGGTTAATACTAGATCAGGGCTTAGCAAACTGTTACGGAGGGCCAAACCCGCCTGCTCTTATAAATAAAGTTTTATTGGGACACAGCCACGCCCACCTGTCTACATAGTTTCTCTCTGTTTCTGAACTACAACAGAGTTGAGTTGAAACCATATGACCTACAAATGCTAAAATATTTACCACCTGGTCCTTTATAGGACGTTTGCTGACTCTTGTAGTTGAAGCCACAAGGGAACTGTTTTTTTTTGTTCCCAAAAATGTGTAGGTGGCAGATAGAAGGTATTGAGGGACCAGATGAAATTTAGGTAGGCTACACCTCTCCTGGGTGCATGTATCATTTATATTCTGTGGTGTGAACACCAGGTACTGCCCAAGCACAGATACTGGGCTCCCGAGGGGACCAAATAAATGTCAGACAGGGCCACTCCAGGTCCTGAGTTCATTTGGGGATGCCCCGGAATGCACCTTGGATTGAGGCAGGGAGGGGCTGGCTGGGGGCCGGGGCATTGTGACGGACCACATCCCTCTGACTCTCCCAGCTCCAGGTTCACACGCCTCCTTCTGGGACTCGGGGGCAGGTGTGGACACCCTAACCTCGGGAGGAGCAGATGACCTGTGGGAAGAAGCTGCTTGAGCTCTACTCCAGTGTAGACTAAGCTAAAAGTCATGCCTGTGGGTACCTCCCACAGACTAACTGTAAACACACGGATTGTGGTATTTTATGGACAGAAGACCTGGTTTTGCATTCCACCTCTGGATTCAACTCTGGGCAAGCACTGAACTTTTCGTGCCTGAATTTCCTCATCTACAAAACGGAAACAATAACTATACCTTCCTCACAAAGTGGCTGGAGGGATTAAGTGAGACAAAGATGGACACTGATTGTCAGCATCAGGCTCATAGCATGCTCTTCAAAAGTGGATGTTATGGATAATAATTCATTACTGCGCTGTCTGATACTGTGGCCACCAGCCACGTGTGGCTATTTAAAATTAATTGAAGTTAATACTATTAAAAATTCAATTCTGTGCTCACACTAGCTGCATTTCAAGCACTCAGTAAGCACAGGTGGCTAGTAGCTCCTGATCTGGATGGCAAAGACATAAAACATTTCCACCATCACAGAACATTCTATGGATAGTAGTGCTTTAGGGGGTAAAGTTTAAGTTTTTTTCTTTTTAATGTCATATAGAGGTTTATATAAACCATCATAGACAAATGTGAGGTAATTTGATATAGTCTCTGCTTCAGGAAATTTTTTTTAAAGCCTCACCCGAGGATGTGTTTATTGATTTAGAGAGAGGGAAGGTGGGAGGGGGAGAGAGAGAGAGAGAGAGAGAGAGAGAGAGAGAGAGAGAGGGCAACGTGTAAGAGAAACATCGATCAGCCGCTTCTCGCATGCACCCTCACCGGGGATCAATCCCGCAGCTTAGGTAAGTGTCCTGACCGACAATCAAACCTGCAGCATTCTGGTGCACAGGATGCTTCAACCAACTGAACCACACAGTCAGGGCTTCTGGGGCTTTTTGATTGGACTCTGGGACTCTTTAGCCTCAAGAGGAGATGGCTGGCTAGAAGTCGGTAGGATGGGAGAACTTGACAATGGATGGTCCTAAGTACACAGGGCTTCCTCGGTGTTTTTAGGAAGGGGCCATCTGTCCCTGGAGTATGTCCTTTCCCATTCTCAGGGAAGCGAAGCTGCCATGGTTGAATTTGTGTGCTGGATGCTGGTCTCACAAGGGAGTGGCCAGGTGAGGCAGGTGGGCCCCTACCTTGCACATGTTGATCAGCCAGCTCTCCTCCCCCTTGTCTATGAAGCCGTGGATGATGAAGCGCGTCTTGCGGTCCAGTCGGAAGTTTGAAGCCTCGATGGTGGCTAGGTCTGTGGAGGAGATCCGCTGGGTAAAGTAGAAAAGATGAATTTGGATGCTGTCCTTTTTGAACCATAGACCTGTTAGAGCTAATTTTAGTAAGACTGAGGTCACAGGTCCCATGAAGTTGGGTCAGGCTAAAACAGAACTGCCCAACCTGGGATTTGCCGATAGAATTCAGAAAGTCCAAGTTCATGGACTTTCTAGCATTTCTGCTAATTATGAAATTGGACGACAAGCCACAATTGTCCTAGCAACACTGTCACCAATAGAAGTCACAGATATTTCCATGTCACATTACTCTTGTTACAGGCATCTTAAAAATCATTTATTCTCATTATTATTTTAAGTGACAGTAGTTATTAGATCAAGTGCTAGATCTTGATATTTAGTGAGAGAATAATAAAGCAGCCCATATATGACTATATCACATAGTTATCTTTTTTAATGTTCCAATACCTACTTTCAATATAATTGGTTTCCTTTGTAACCTAATGTATTTTAGTTTACACATTTAAACACATCACCCTGGAAAGGGGCCCTTCGATGGTGGAAGAGACCTTCCAGAGCTGAAAAGGCGAAGGGCCCCGGGGTCAGAGGCACCAGGTGGGAAGGGCAGTGCTGCTCAGTGGAGCCATGAGGAGCATTGCTAGCCTGTGGGACATAAGACCCGACTCCTGCATGCCAGGGGCCTGTTCAGGCCCCTGCACCAGCCAGCTCCCTTCGGAGCACCTGGCAGGCCTTTCTGGGAACTGAAAGTTGTTCCTAAGGCCCCTCCCTACCTTTTCACTTTTGTAGTTAAATGTCCCCTCTCCTCTACCTGTCTTCCAGCTCCTCAGGAACGATTTACACCTCCACACCCTTATTCCCTGAGTGGCTTCTCTCCTTCCATTGCCAAGTGCAGGAAGAAGACAGACCTGCCAGGCCTGGGTTTTCCCTGTAAGCACTGCCCCTACCCTCTCCCTCCAGGGTCGGGAAGTTCTATGCACAAGCACGTGGAATGTGTAAGCTTCTGGGTTGGGCATCCATGCATCTCATGGGGGGTTTCTGATCCTGAGAGCCAAGGTGGCTGACACTAGTAAGGGAGCACCGCCTGGAACGTTCCACAGCAGTACAGTGTTCCTTGGGCAACTGCATAAAAGCTCCAGGGGTGCGCCCACCTCCACCCACCCTGCAGTCCTTTCCTGCCCCCTCTTACTTGGAAGTTGTTCGGATTCTCATTTGTGTACAGAAGGAACTGGGTGTTAATGTCCTTGGGGGACCAGGGAAATAACTTCAAGGGCCGTTGAAGGATCCCGGCCCATGGTTTTTCATTGGAGAAGCAGCCGAAAGGTGCATAGCAGATCTCCTTTCCTGGGGCGGGAAGAGCAACGAACAGGACACTTGTGAGGTTCTGAAAAGGAGCCAGGTCATCCCAGCCCAGGGCTGGCTGAAGCCAATGCTCCTCTTTTCTCACTGTCAGCGTTCCCCAAATTCCATGGTGACAAGAATCGTCTGGGGGCTGGGGGTGAATGTGTGTGTCGCAGGTACATATTCCCGGACCCTCCCTCCAAGATTCTGCGTTGAGGGCTTTGGCGGGGAGGGTGCTGGAAACCGCCTGTTGAATGCTGTTTAACCCTTGTCATCAGCGCAGTGGGGGAGTGGCTGAGAATTCCTGGGAATCTTCTGCCTTAAAACTACCTCTGCCAGGGAACCCCAGATTCATCCCGCATCGGGTGTTCATCAGGTGCCCGTGACGCCATTTGACGTGTCCTGACGGACGTCTGCCCTGCACCCAGCACAGCCCACGCACACAGCAGCCATTCCTGGCTGTTGTCCTACTCTTATGTCTTCATGTCCTCCTCTTACTCACATTGTCCCCCAACTTATTCTCTGTCATTCCAGGTTTTCCTTGTTGTTTTTTTAAAAGGTAAATTTCTTAAGGCTAAGGGTGATTGATTTTGGCCTCATTCAGTAGCCGGGGCTCACAACATGCGGCCGATGACCCAACAACCACATCTAAGTCTGAGGGTCTTCTGTTTAGTCTACGGCATAAACATCGTCACAGGAAATGGTCACCGAGGGGTGGCGTGATCAAATCCAGAGGATTTCAGTGGGCCTTCCCTCTTAGGCTTCCCCGCCTCCTAAACCGATGGTGCCAAGTGTCGGCCATTTGCTCAAAAACTGGTAATAGTAACACTTGTTGTTTTACTACGTGTCACATACCACTCTAGCGCTTTACTGGTGTTATGCCTTTTAAACCTCAAAACAGCCCATGAGTAAGGAATTACTTCCATTTTCCAGATGGGAAAACCAAGGCAGAGAGAGACAGAGTGAGCTGCCCAAGGTTGCAGCCGGTGGTGGAGCCAGGATGTGAACCGCGGACATTTAATTGAGAAGTTTACTAGACACTGAGGAGGCACAAAGACAAATCAGGTAGAAAGCCTGCCCCGGATGATGGGAAACCTAACAGGGAAGGAATCACCATGGCCTTGACTGACAAATATAGGGGCTTGAAGGCCAGGTGCAGGCCCCTGCGCTGTTAGGTGGATAGGGGTGAGGTGCCGGAGGGTGCTGAGCTGGTGAGTGGGGTGGGGACTTGTGCTCTGTGAAGGCATATTGGGAGCCAAGTGTAGGTGGCTCAGAGGCAGGAGAGCCTGGGAGAGGTGGGGGTTGGGGTGAGCCATGCAGGGGCGGTGGGTCGAGAGGTAACAGGCATTCTAATCCGGGATGACCGTGGAGCTGAAGGGGATGGTGGGAGGTGGGGGTCGGGGGTGAAGCCGAAGCCTGGACAAGGGAGTGGGCGGCCCTGGTGGGGTTGCCTGGAAACTGGGGAGTGGGAGGGGCAGACGCTGGGCAAAGGGAGAGGCCAGAGGAAAAGGAGGAGGAGGAGAGCGCCTGGGAGTGGCCTTTGGGGAGGGCCTGCCGTTAGGGCAGGAGCAAAAGGGACCGAGATGGGTCAGAAAGGCCCAAGGCGCAGCCGGACCCCCGCAGGCTCCACTCTCAGGGGTCAGGTCTTGCTGCAGGACCAAGATGCGAGGGAAGGCCAAGCACGGGCTGGGGACAAGCCAAGGAGGCAAGAGGGAGGACTCATGGTGGAGAAGGAAGCCCCGGCAGAAGGGTGCCAGAGGGGAGGTTCGGACCGGAGCCGGAGAGGCAGAGATGGAAGCTGTGGGAGGGATGGTAGGTGGCGGGGGGGGGAAGGCATGTGGCAGGACCGGCAGGAGTCCCCGGGGCGGGGCGGGGGGCACACGCTTGTCCGCTCAAGGGACTGAGGGTGTTGGGGGCTGAGAGTGCCACCCGCCCCCGACAGGCCCAGCAGCCTTCCGCCTCCACCACCCCTCACAGCCACCGCCAGGACTACCTGGGGTCGTCTGTGTCCAGCATGTTGCTCTGTGTCTCCCTAAATGTCAACACGCCCTGAACGGTGGCGATCGTAGCTTTTCCTGAGATAATGCTCGTGCTATGGATTATGATGATAATAATGATGACGATGCTTCTAACTGCCCTACCCAAAGGCCAGCCGAGGGACAGTCACGAATGGATGGATCCTCACCTCTGACTGTGGCCAGCAGGAGGAGGCCGACGATCCAGGAGGGCAGCATCTGCAAGGAGGAAAACACAGACACACACGAGCAGCGAGGAGAGCCACCCATCAGGCTGTCCTTCAAGGCGGGGACCCGGAGGCAGAGGTGACCCCCCCACACAGGGAGTGGGGCAGCACCTCTGCAGGACCCCGGACTCAGGGTCTCCCCAGTGCAGTGGCTTCCCCCTCCTTCGGAGCAGCTGCGATGCTGCCAAGCTCCCTGCCTGCACAGAGCCATGACTTACCGTGTGACACCAGGGCTCCACTCAGCCTACAGGGTGGCCATGGCCTTTTATAACCAGGCTTTATCCTTTGGACTCCTTAGGAAAGGACACGAAGGAGAGATACGTGTGCTTTGAACCGAGGTTATCATAAACACATAAGCCAGCTCAGCCCGGGAGTGGGGCTATTTACAAAGTGCCATTCGAGGAAAGAAAAATTGACTTTGGGGATAGGAAAGGCCCCTGTTAGCCTGAATTTACAGGTTCAGTTGCCAAAAGATTGTGTTCCCCAGGTGATAACACGGAGGCATCAAGCCTCCTGTTCAAAACTCTTTCAGGAATGTGAGCACAAGCCCGTCTTCTTGCCCCGATGTTATGGGCAGACATGGGCCGTCTAAAGGTGTGCTGCTCCCGGGATGTGCCGGTTCAGGCGACACACGTCTGCTCTCCCTCGGGGCTGGGGGCGTGGAGGGCAGCCCTCCAGATAACTCGGACAGAGGGTAAAAGCAAAGGCAACCCTGTTGTCCAAGAGAGAGTAGAACAAAGAAGGCTTGAACAGAGCTTTGTTTAGAAAAAAATAGAGCCTGTTTTCAAAGCATTTCTGAGCTGCATCGATTGGACCTTGACCCAGAGATAAGAAGGTGGAGGTGGTTTCTTTCCTTCAATGCTGAGGGGAGGCCTGGGTTCTGAACCACTAGCTGCCGCTCAGCCATTTTTAAATTAACAGATACTTCAGATACGCTAAAGTGCATAGATCATATGTTTAAAATTCAGTGCGGTTTAATGAATTTTGACAAATGTGTACTCCTGCCTATATGCCCCAGGTCAAGGTATAACATATTTCCAGCATCCAGAAGTTTCTCTCATGGTCCTTCTGGCCCTCTTCCCCCACCCCATAATAGGGCTCTGATACCTCACATCATAGATTAGTTTGGTCTGTTCTAGAATTGCATATACATGGAATTATCCATCAGGTTTTTGAGGTTGACCACATCGTCACGTGTATCAGTAGTTGCTGCTTCTCATTGCTGTGCCACATTGATGTATTTCTGTGTGAATTTATCACAGCAGGCTTGCCTGTGTGGGTTCTGCTTAGTTTGGGACTATTATGAGCGATGCTGCTAGGAACATTCTAGTCTAGTACAAGTTTCTGGTAGACATGAGCACTCCTTTGCTCGGGTTTGTCCCCAGGAGCAGAACTGCCTGGGTCCAGGGGTGTGCGCCTGTTGAACACTTTTCCAACAAGGCTGCCACCTCTGTCAGCTCCCATTGGCAGCAGGAGGAGCGTCCAGTCGCCACACACCCCACCCCTGCCCTTCGGTCAATCCCAGCCACATTCAGGTTGCCAGCAATTTCCTGAGGGTTACAAGCAACAAAAATGGCATCTTCAAGGGGCGTGGAACTGGTAAAGGGATGAGGAAGCCTGAATGGGGTCCCCTCTACCTGAATAGCCAAAGCCTAATGTTGTCACCCTGCTGCCCCCCAACCCCCAGAGGTGTCCAGCAGCTGGGGCACAAGTCGAAGGCTCATAAAGGACCCCACTGAGGAGGCTGGTACGGTGGCATTAGGCCAAATGGAAGCCCTAGACCTATGACATGGGGCCAGCGGTGCCCATTGCTCTCGGGCAGAGAAATGGGGTCACGCAGCACGTGCTCCTTAGTGACCTGCTTCTTTCACGCAGCAGGTATTTGGGATTCACCCACACTGTCACATGTGTTAGTGCTAACCTCTGGCGACACAGAAATGACTGTACAAACCTTGATCCTTCCACCAAGGCAAGGCCTAAACAAATAATCAATGAAATATAAGTACCAACTGAGATACGTTCCATGGAAGAAAAATAAGGAACGTGATAACAATGTAAAGGAAGACCTGGTCCCATTCCGGGCACTGAGGAGGGCTTCTTTGACGTTGTGACCTTGAAGCTGAGCCTTGGGGGATAACGTTGACTTAGGCAGGGACAGAGTAGGGGTAGTATGTCTCAGGAAGAGGAAACAGAATATGCAAAGACCCCGAGATGGGCACATTTGAAAAACTACACAAGGCAGCCCAGCCTGTGCACCTGGGATTCAGTGAGCGAGGGAGAGAGACTTGAGGGGGGGGAGTGCGTGCGGAGGAGGCAAGGTCCGGGAACACTGACCCTAATGACCACGGTAAGAGGTGGGAGTTGGTGAGATGGATAACTTCCAGATCTCTCCTGCCTTCTCCTCCCAGCCCTGTGTCCTGGAGGATGCTTCTGTGGCCTCCTTGCACTACTTGCCCTTGGCCTTCTGGTTGGTTCAGCCCATGGAAGGCACCTCCAGGAGGTCAGAGGGGAGGAGGCAGAGGTTAGAGTGTTTCTGCCCAGACTCCCTCCCTCCTGAGCTGTGGCCGGGCAATGCCCGCACTTCCCTCCTGAGCACTGCCGTTCCTCTCAAGCAGCTCCCTCCTGTGGCTCCAGCTCCTGCCAGAGTCTTCTGGTAGCTCCCTTCCTCCAGGCTTCAGGCTATGGGGCTGTCAGAGCTTCTAGCTGCTGCTAATCCCTGGGTGCTCCAGCGCTGCTGGTGGGTTCCCTTAACCCTGTCCACACCTCTGTAGAGCTGCCTGGATAAGGCCTTTGAGGGGACCATCACTTTGCCACTGGGGCGCCTGGCAGGTGCGGCCAGCGGACTGCCCCTGAGAGAGGATGTGTTCAGAGGCCTGTGGTCCATCTTGGGAATGCAGATTAGCTAGGCTTTGGGCACCTTCCTTTCCTGACTCCATATTTCTAATGAGGGTTTCTGTCCTTATTAGGAAGGGGTTTTGGATGGTGCACTTGTAGGGCTTTTGGTTTTGCAACCCACACCAATAGCAGCCAACCCGTTCTGGGACTTGGTTATGATTTTTGCCCCAGGTTTAGTAAGTTATCTTCAGATAATCAGTGGGTCATATCACCCACAGCCCCCTGGTTTCAGCCACAGATTAGTCAAGGAACCAGGGAACTGCTTACCTGAGCGGCATTTTATCTGGTCCACAGTCATACCCAGAGGACAGACTTGGAGGGAAGGGGGAGGGGGCGAGTTCAATTCTTGTTTTGTCCAGGTCACCAGGCTCTGTTCCGAATGCCAAGGTCAGATCGTGGTCACCTCTGTCCTTAAGGGACTCATTGAGGCCGATTTGTTCAACGTAAGGAAAAACTTTCCAAGGGGAAGAATCATTGGAAAATCCAATTTTTTTCCGATGGGCTTTGCTGGTGGGGGGTGACCCCTGAGTCACATGGATGACATTGCGACTTGAGCAGAGGTAGACAGAAGCCAAACCTCAGGTGAGAGGTGATTAGGTGATCTACTTTTAAGGTCCTCGTCAAATCTGGGATCCTACAAGAAATTTTGGAAACCAAAATCTAAAGAAAAGACCCTACCTTTCTACTCAGGCAAGAGTCAGCCCGCAGGAGCACACCATCCCGCCCCCCTTTCAAAGAGGATAAGAACTCACCCAGGCGGTAACACACACCAAGGTCATGAGAAATAAGCTGAACAAACACATCTGGGGAATGTGATCTCAAGGACAGGTGTTGGCCATGAGAGAGCTGAGCATCGAAAAGGAATCAGGTGGCGTTCAGGTCAAATGCTGTCCTGGGAGGAAATGACAGTGGTCAAATCATAGCTCTCAGAGCTATAAGATGCTCAAGACATACGGCACCTTGTTTATTCCCATTTTACAGCCTCAGTCGAGACCCTGAAAGGTTAAGGGACTTAGTTCAAGGGCAAATGGAAGAGCAGGCCTTGACCTCAGGGCTCTATCCCCTGCTCTGGTGCTGCCGTTGTCTCCTGTAGGTCTCAGTTTGATGACCTATGACCTGGGTGGAACTAGGCCACTGACTTAGGAACATTGTCCCTGTGTAAAGCTGCTCTCCTAGGAGGGTTGGGCACCACTGCCACAGTCACCTGTCCCAAGTGGTCCTGAGCCCGCCTGCTCTTTGGCAGGGTGGCCCAGAGCTGGTTGGGGGGTGCCCCAGGCTGTCCCTTGTTTGCCTGCCCATGACAAGGCCAGCTCAGCATTCCTGTCCTTTCTGGGGACCCGAGGTTCTGACACTGTGCCAGTTGTGTGCCCTGGGAAGAAAGGGAAGGCCAGCACCTGTGGGAAAAGTCATTCACTGCCACATGTTGGCAGGTGGCAGGGCCATGGCCGGGGGGAGGCCTGCTAACTGACATAGCAGCTGCCCGGGGAATGGAGGTGGCTTGGTCCTCCTCCTGCACACCGAGGCCTGTTGAAAGTTCGTTTGTCCCTCTCCTTTACCACCCCCTCTGTGTGTCCCCTCCCCTCCAGTCCCTGGCCCTTCCCCCTTCAGGCCGCCCTCCCCCACCGCTTCCTCCCAGCTTTTATCCTGTACGTGGCTCCTGGATGCCCTCAGATGCACATTCACCTGTGCATTCGCTCATTCATGTCTGTTTTTATGTGGCTACACAGTGCGGGATGCTCTTCCGGCCTTGAGGGTACAACAGTGAGCAGACACACTCCCTCCCTGTCCTCATGCAGCTGACAGTGCCACAGAACACAGACACTCGTTACCTACAAATAAGTACATAATTGCCAATAAAGAAAAAGCACACCAAGGATCTGTGTCCCCGGGCTCTACGATCCGGGCTTCATCTAAAGAGAATAACTTAGGGGTATCGGGTGGAGAGGGGTCCAAATTTAGGTGGAATCCAAGCTCCTGAATGAGGCAGACAAAGTTGGTCACTGTTACGGGTTGAATTATGTTACCCCCAAAAGATATGTGGGGAGCCCTAACCCCTAGGATCTCAGAATATGACCTTATTTGGAGACAGTGTCTTTATATTGGAAAAGGGGG